TTTTTCCGGAAAATTGAAGAAATCTGCAGTTTGACAATCGGGTTTTTTCGCAATAAGTTAACCGATAATACAGATTAGGAAAATCTACAGATATAAATCAACAACGTTCTAAATACACTAAAATAAAAGTACATTTGGCATTTATTAAAGTATTTTCCACTGCGTGTCCTAATTTTTCACCCATAAAGCCCTATAACCACCGTTTTCTTAGGAGAACATGCAGGGAGTAGGGATTAACGAGTGGGCCTACATAAGCTACTGTTGCTGCGCTTTTTTCGAAAAAGAGAGTGGGTATGTACATCCGATAATGACATCAAGGAGCCCCTAGCTTTTCCTATAATATAAATAGACAGAATTCGCAGCTGTGTACAGAAAGCACGCAAGCTAACCTTAATGAATGTGCAATTTCTAGACAACAGCAGTTAGTATACTTATGCTTTAACAATAATATTCGATAACAGTCAGGTACGGCCTTGTGAGGGTTGTTTCAAACCGACAGTCCACCTAGCTCAAATTACCAATAGCTACATGGATAGAGAAGAAGATTTGTCGAGCACCGGATCAATTTGTTTATTGTCCTGAGCTTCAAAACCCTTACAAGAGTCCATCTTAAGAGATAAGAAGCAACAACCAAAAGGAGGGTTATCATTATAGTTATAGTTGCTGCTCCTTATGTCTGAAGATGGACTTTTTTAAGGATTCGAAAGCTCGGGACAATAGACAGATTGATACGTTTATACTCTATTGAACTCTAAAGTGCACAAATATATTTGTGTGTTGTGCCCCCAGCGTAAGCTCAGCAGATAAACTATGCATATACAGACGGTTTATTGTATTCAGTGGAAGCTCGAATGTGCGTACAATCTTATGGAGCTTATGATTTGTGCGCGACCTTATCGCAGGGGGCTAAGTAAATTAAACCCTAGCATCTGCGATCTTCAGGCCCGGTTCCTTAGAAGGAGAAGAGGGAAGACGGGGGAGGCCCTGAAAAGACGTGGGAGGCTGTAAAATTGACGACCAAACTGTCATATCTTACTCATTTTGTGGTCTTATCTGTTATGAAGAGTAACATTTAAATGAAGCTGAAGTGAATATCAACGAGCTGCGGTAGTTAGCAACCTACAGGAAATGAAAACTTTCGTGTTCCAGGCATTTGCATTAATGAGAACAGAGGGTTTTTCATCACCGGATCGATTTGTTTATTGCCCTGAGCTGTCGGGCTCATAAACGCTTCGCCATACATCAAGGATGTCTCAGAAGCGACCGAGTACATCACTACGGGACTAGACTTCGGAATTGCGCACCATCCGAAGGTTACCATGCGCAGCCGGGTAATGAAAATAAAAAACCGGCTGAACACCAATGGGCAATCTGGGGTAGTGTATCACATCCCATACTTAAGCTGTCCTTGCAGCTATACAGGGCAAACTGAACGCATGTCCGGTTCGGGCATTCACGAACGTAAGCTGGCTGTTAGACGGAGTTGCACATTGTTCTAAGTGCAGGCCACACCTATTAGACGGGCTACGAATTTAAATTCGCAGCTGCTCACTCCGGCAGCAAGATAGGACGAGACGTAATTTAAGCCTAGGCCTCGGATGACAACTCAGTGAATCGATGTATCGAGCTGGCGCCCGCATACGTCACCCTCCGCAGGTATATCCGCACGACCGACACTGCTGATTAATGAGTTCCCCCCTCAATAACGTTTGATTGGGTCCAGTCTCCTATAACTCTTGCTTGTCTTTCGTGCATGCTTTTATCTTTGACGAAGGACTCCCAGAAGAGCTAGAAAACTCAGGGCAATAAACAAACTGATCCGGTGCTCGGAGTCTACAGTTTACAACGACTTCTAGTGGCCTTTAGATTTTTAAAAGTTAGTTAACTTTAAAGCAGCATTTGTGGATAAGCAGCAAAATAAATTCATACAACCAGTCCTGACGAGCGGTATCGATTAGGCGTGCAGAGGCAAGCGCCCCT